CTGTGATTATTTAAAATATAGTTCCAGCAATGAATCCAAGAAAAACTAAATCGACGAAAAATATCTATTGCCCAGACTACAGCACACAGGTAGAAGGTTAGTCCACTAATAAACAACAGCAAACATAAACATATGCACACATACACATATACGTAGTAAATTGAGGAGAAGCTATAGTCCAGACTGAAAGGTGATGAAGCCCTAAATGAGAGTGGCAGATGTAAGAGCAGAAAGCAGACACTGGCAAGAAATGTTGCATACATAAAAAAGACAGGATATGACAACTGACTCAATATGTGGGGTGAATCAAGAGTAAGAGTCAAAGAAGACACAGAAAAAAAAAAAAGACACAGAGTTCACGAACCTGGAGGTTGGAAGGATGTTTGTGCCCATTAATGCAGGTGATGGCACTACAAATCTATATGGCCATTCTAGAAAACAATTTGGAACTATGCCCTAAGTCATTAAACTGTGTATATCTTTTGACCCAATGCACTACTACTAGGCCCACACCTCCCAAAAGATCAAAAAAAAAAGAGGAAAAGGACTTGCATAAAAATATTTACAGCAACCCTTTTTTGTAGTGGCAAAAAACTGTTAAGTTAAAGGAGTTTACATCTATTGGGGAGATGTTGAGTAGTTGAACAAAATCAAAGAGCATACGTTTCAATGTATATGAAAGCGATGAAATATTCTGTGCCATAAGAAATGACAAAATGGATAGTTTCAGAGAAGCCTGGGAAGACATGCATGAAATGATGAAGAATGAAGTGAGAACCATTTATACAATAATAACAACACTGTAAAGACAAACAACTTTGAAAGACTTAAAAACTCTACAGCGGCCAATCACAATTCTAGCAGATAGATGATGAAGCATGTTACCCACCTCCTGCCAAAGAAATGATGGCCTCAAAGTGCAGAATGAGACATACATCTTTGGACATGACCAATGTGGGAATTTATTTTGCTTGACTGAATATTTGTTAAAAGGGTTTTGTTTTTGGTTTTCCTTCTTTTTGTTTTTCAACTGGGAGGAAGAAAAAATAAATGGTTATTTAGCTGAAAAAAGTAAAATAGTAAAAAAGTTCTATCTTTTAAAAGATGCTAGTGCCCTTGACAACAATGGTGAAGTTTGGAAAAGAAGGGCTTGGTGGGGGAGAGGGGGAATAAATGAATTCTGTTTCCCCCAGGGAAACCAAGAGGTCACTGCAACAGCTGAGGTTTAAAGGTGATGAGAGCCTAAATGAGGGTGGTGAGGAGAGGGTAGATCGATGTGAAACACACTGAGGAGGAATGATCATCAAGATTTGGCAACTGACTGAAGACAGGGTTGTGCCAGGAAAAGTCAAAGTGAGCTCCACAGTCGGGAACCTGGGTGATGGGAGGATGGTAGTGCCCTCATCAGGAATACAGAAGACTGGACAGGAGTGGGTAGGTAGGTGGGTGGGAAAGATAATGAATTCTGTTTGGGACATGGTGAGTAAGAGAATACCAAAAGTAATTTCTTGAAATCTGAAAATCCCTTTTGCGTAAGGATGGTCATTAGTTATCAAGATTATAGGACTGTTTCAGTGCTATGTGGGGCTGTCTTCTGTTACTATTTTTCAAGACAGATTTAAATAACACTCAACTTACTTTCTGCTTAAATCTGCTTTAATAGTTTTCTTTGTACATGGAAAATATAGTCTTGATAAAGCAGAAATTATTTTAAGTATTTTATAAATAACAGTTCATGACATACATAATACTTTTTCAATTTCTTTCTTTTTTTTTTTTCTGGCTAGGCAATGGGGTTAAGTGACTTGCCCAGGGTCACACAGCTAGTAAGTGTTATGTGTCGGAGGCCGGATTTGAACTCAGGTCCTCCTGAAGCCAGGGCCGGTGCTCTATCCACTGTGCCACCTAGCTGCCCCCTTTTTCAATTTCTTCATACTTATCCAAGCAGGTTAGGTTAAGAATCCGCTTTCACTGGTATCCACCATGGCTGGAATGCCCTCCTTCCTCAACTCTACCTTTCAGCTTTCCTGGCCTCTTTCAAGTCCCAACTAAAATCCCACCACAGGAAGCCTTTCCAATCTCTCTTAATTCTAGTGCCTTCTCTTTGCTGATTATTTCGTGTGTGTGTGTGTGTGTGTGTGTGTGTGTGTGTGTGTGTGTGTGTG